GTGAAGTAAGCCAAAACTGATGCTTGGTTGGTAAATATTTCTATCTCCAATCAATGATCTATTATTTAGTTTAATGGGAACAGAGGTAAAACTCAGAGAGTGTGGGTACTGTAAAATGTCTGTACAGGAGCTAACTTGTACCTGGTGAAGTTTATTAGGCTGCCTGCATGCTAGCTGTGCCAGAACAAGGCTGCCTCACAGAGCTGTGCAGTGACTCTGTACCATGGCTCAGTCCTCCTGTGCTGCTTGTTTTGCTCTCAGGCCAGACTAACCCGAGTCGCTCCAGCTCCAAGAGAGCTGTGGTTAATAAGGCTGGCCAGGCTCTCTGTGGAAACCTATGCAGTTGCTCCACCATAGTCCTCTCTGTCCAGGCATGGCCTGCAGAAACACAGAGCTGCACCCAGTTTGCAGCTGGGGCTGTGCATAGGGCAGAGGTAACTGTGTTATTTCCAGACCCAAACTGACCCTGGAAGCAGGAGAAGGGAGAGACTTTTCTAATCTTTGACCTGTACCATTGTTTGTGCTTTTTTTCCTAAGGTAAGCCACAGCTGTCCTCTCGCCAGCTGTTCTTTGTGATAACCATTACCACTTAAAGTTCCTCTTGGCCTTGAGGAAGGTCAGAGTTTTCTTGGCACCCGTTAGAAAAACAGAGACAAATTATAAGTGAAGCCAACTAGTCAAATGACAGCATAAATGTATGTTCCCATTACCCCTGGATATAAGCAGTTTTGGGACTTTTCTCATCCTGTCAGATTACAGTTTGAAAGCATCTCAACAAATTTCAACTCAGCAAGGTGGGGTGAGTGTTTTAGTACCCTCTGCCCCATTCTTCTTGACATCTCACATTTGTCTCTTAGATTTGGAAATTTTCCTTGTTCCTCACCTTTGAGAGGATTGATTTATTGTCTTTGTAGGACTTCCTGTGTGATTCAACGTGTTTCTGCCTCTGCACAACTAGAAGACCACTCATTTATTCTTTGCCCAATACTTTTGACTCATGCTATTAACCATGCATTCTTTCCTGTTAAATTGACAACTCGGGGAAGAAAATAGTTCATTACCATATAAATGGAGACAGCTTCTCTTTTCAAGTAAATTGTCAATAACATCTTCATAGCCATGTTATCAAATTCCTCAAACTTTATGGAGCAAGTTCAATTGACATTGGGTAGCAATGCCACAACAATTTTGTTATCTCACTAGATAGCTTGAAAACTTTTAGCTAGAGAAGAAGGAAAAAAAGAATTATTGCTTTGTTGTTTGACTCTCAATTTTACCCTTTCAGATAAAAGAAGGAAATAAAAACCTCTCCATTGATTAAATGAACTAGACACAGTTACAAGTACATATCAGTTACTCATTCAAGACATCCCCAATGCTTATTTTGGGATTCTTCCTAGTCTCAGTCTCTGACAGAGATTAGTAATTTAGAGAGTGTCAAAATGAGCTGAAATGTTCCATAGCAGTATGCTAGGTCCTGAGCAGGTGGGACTGAAAATGCTTGCATGTAGGATTTTCGCTGGGGACATTGCTGATGTCAACAGAAGGCATGCCCATCTCTATGACACTAATAATTCAGTTAAGTAGGCATGTGTTGATTGAAGTCACCCAGTTCACATACTGGAGGGCAGAGCACACCTTGTGACATGAGGGAAATGTGTTGGTTTTGTGACTGAGCAAAAGGGAAGCACAGGAAAATAGTCTCTTTTTGTGAGTTTTACTCTCAGTGGATAATTTATAGGATTACATTTAGTCCTCATATGAGCAGATGTAGCTTCTCTGAGCTTGGCATTTTTAATGTTCTTACATCAGGAGCTGATTAGCCTGATTAGGACTGGCCATTAGATTCCAAAGGAAAATCAGCACTGGCTAATCTGAGAAAAGATACCTCTGAGCCCTTTACACCACCATTGCCAGCAAACGGCTGAAATGTTAAGAACTGGAAAATTGGAACAGGCCTAATGTATAGCATGAGTCAAGCCTCAGAGCTCCAACAGATGCAGTGGTGAACATTGATACTGCCACAGGAGTAGGTACAGTCTCAAGTCCTGCTGAATTCAGTGAAAACTGGCATATGAATTTTTGTGTACAATAGCTTCTCTTTGCCTTTTGTGGTTGAAATGGTCACTGAACTTCATTTCTTATAGGTTCATAGAACTGTAAAAAAGTTCTTAAGAGGTCATCAGCCAGCCCATCCCCTGCACCCAGTAGTTTATTATCCTCACAGCAACTGGAAATGACAGAGGAAAGAGACTGTATTTAATAACTTTATTAATAATTTTGTTGGTGTTCTCTGAAGACACTCCATAAGGTACAATCTGTGTCTGTTCCCCAGATGTCTTCTACACAAATAGCAAACTGTCCTTTCACTTTGTAGCTTGACTGACACTCCCTGAGTTTTGAAAATTACTGGGAACAGGCCTCTTCCAATGTAATTTTTTTTAATTTGTTTTTATTTATTAGTAAAAGATGGCATGTCTATCTTTCCTTGTCTTTATGGTGTGTGAGGTTGACCATAGAATCAGTAAAGGCATCTTTGAAACTTTTAACCTGCAACAGAGATTTTCAGAAAGAAACAAAGATTTATTTGATGCAGGCAGGAGTTCCTTAGTAGAAGGGAAGGACCAAAGGCTGTCTTCTAGTTTTCACCTTTAAAATTACTTTTTGTTACATTGTGTTTATAACTGTCATGGTATTAGAAAATAGGGTTACAAAATACTTCAAAGGAATATATAAGGAACAAAGTTAGCTCAGACACAGCTACTTGGACATGAGAGCTCCTTTGAATTTGAAGGGCGTATACGTAAGCCATATACATTCTGCTTTGCTCTTTCCTAGCATAATCCTCAAAAACTTCACTCCTGCAGGAGGACAATTCAGCCACTTTCAGTCATCTGGACCACTAGATCTTGTACCAACGTAGGTGAGCGTGAGCCAGACAGAACTGTTGTTTCATGTGAAGTTGAGGGAGTTTGCTTGCATCAAGTAGTTATTATCCAGGTTGCATAATGCTCACAGTGTCTGGCTCTCTATTCACGCATTCTGCCAAATCTAGCAGATAAAGAGGCATTGTAAGATATTTGCAGGATGTTTGAAATATTAGAATAGGATCATAAATTGGGCATTTGTGTTATTCTGGCAAAGCCTGTCAGAATAATTTATTCTGTATTTATGAAACCTGTCTGCACCTTTTCATCACACAGCATTCTGTTCTCGATTCCTTTTCTCACTGACTACCTTCTATAAGCTGTCAGGGATGACTTTGCTTTGGACTTCTGCAAACTAGTTTGCTTAGAATAAGACATTAAATCTTCAAAATTTTTTGACGGTCATTTCCCTTCTGCAGTTAGCCTGCTCTGTCTGTTCCCCCAGGCATCTTTCCTTTTAATTGAGCTTTGTTCTGAAATGACAGACCCTTCTATTTGTGACTCAAATACATTGCAAACTTTTGCACTCATCTGCTAAAAGACATACTGAGGACTATAGTGACCATCCTGGTAAATGAGAGAATGGCACAGTATCCTTTCTCATTCCATTTCTGCTTCCTGACACAATGGTGTCAGCACTAACCGTGCATATATTTTTCTGATGTAGATACCTGTTCTCTTGAAAATAGGTCCAAAACACTCCCTTCTTGGCTGAAGCAATAAGAAACTAGTGATTTGGGTACACTTGTTTCCACCCACTGGAGGTCAGCATAGATCTTCACAGGAAGCAGGGAGAAGCACTCTGGGCTTGTATGAAAGAGAAACATTATGATGCTCAGTGTTGCTAGGAAGGTGTGTTGCTCTGCATTGTATCTGATGTCATCTCAAGACACTTGACAGCATTACTTACACGTTTTTCAACTTGATTGAGAAAAAGAATAGAAGTGGGTTTTGGAAAATATCCACACTGTAAAGATAAATGATTATTAGTGTTGAGATTTAAGTAGCAACCAATTGAAAAAACCAAAATCCAGTTCTTTGCAAGTACTTGAAGTCCAGTTTTTAAGGTTCAGGGGAAAATAATTCCTTTCCACTGAAGAGTCAGGTTGAGGATCATATTGAAGCAGTCAGAGAGGGTGATAGATCTGCAAAGCCTGCTGTTGACAAAAGGTAATCTCCTATAGTTTTCCAGATGGTCAGAATTTCACCCATAGATTTTAATGTTCAAAAGGACCTGACAATCTGAATCGCACAGGCTGTGGAACAAAAGGCCAGACTGCTGCAGGGAAAATTAGCAAATCTTGAGATCTGGAGATCTTGGTAGAAAGCAGGGTTGTCTTGTTCAACTACTTTCCTGAAGTCCCACAAATATTGAGTTTAAAGCTGTCTTCATATTCCAAATGTCACAGTAAAAATGTAGCAATAAAGAATTATTTTACTTTATGGTTATTTAATAAATTGAAAACTAGATGCAGCTTTGCAAGTGATTAATGTGGAAACTGTTTTGGCAGAGGATTGATAAAATAATCCAGACAGAGCAGTGAAAACAGACTGTACCAATTTCTCCCTTTTCCTCATAAAATTAATCTCACAAGCACTATTTAGAAGTTGCAAAGATTTTTCTTGCTAGATTTTTCTTTAAGACCATAATGAAATGGTATCTGTAATTGTTGTTATATGGATTTAAATTCTGTGCAGAAATTTTGAGTAGCTTTATTGACCCTTTTTAGATTAGATGTAAGCAAAACAATTTCATCACCAGCAGAAGAATGACGAGTACAAAGTTTAAATCTAGATCTTGAATACGGCCTGCTATTGCTGTCTGTTTAAACAAAAATTTGTCAATGCTATGGGAAGACAAGCAAAAATGTCTTCACTGCTTCTTGCGGAAAGAAAAAAGGCAACAGCTAATGTTATTACTATCAGGAAAAAAGGTGTTTCTTTCAGATAAGGAACCAAGAACACATTCCTCACTAAATCTCTCCAGCAGATACATAGCCTGTGTACTACTGTTACTAACCCCTTACTCTGTAATCTCTCTGTATATATGTCTAATTTATCAGTTTCTTGTAGATTGTCAGCAGCCTGCTGCCTCCATACCGCCACACGGCTCACAACTAGCCAGGGGGCCAGATTGCCAGACTGTCAGGTAAACTTAACTAACTCTTTTCTCTTTGCACGTAGCTGCATGCACGTCTGCAACTCTCCTTCTCTTCCTTATGCAAAAGCACTTCACTGCAATTCTTCACTAACAAAAAACTGTTAACAACTTGAGGAACAGTGATAATTTCTGCAGTGACAGTACAAACATGAATCACAGCATTCACACACTTATATCTATATAAAATATGGAAAAGAATGCAAGTTGGATCTTGCATTCCTCATTGGTCTTTTTATGCAAACAGTTTCTCAATGATGCCAAAATAGTAACAATTTTATTTTGTTGCTAGATAAATTTACTTAAATGGAGGACTTTTAATTTTAGGGTTGAGTGTAGGTGTCCCTTTTGTAAGCTGGCATTTTAGAGGCATTTGTGAGATTTTTAGCAGATACTTCTCAGAAAGTTCTCCCTGACCTGGAAACTCAGACCCACTGCAGTCAGTTCTTAGTCTTGTTAAAAGTAAACTGGTGTCCTCGCTTGTAGGTGGTGCAAAGGCCAGATCACACCTCTGAGACAGCTGAGTTAATGAAGGCACAAAAAAACAACCTAAGCAAAGAGAGTTTACAATATCTTTCTTTATCTGTTCATGGTATATTCTGTGCATATATTCACTTATGACTATACTCCCTTGTTTGAAATAGGTTACATTATTTTTAGCTACTTCATTTGTGCCTCTCTTTTATTGCCTATTAAGTGGAAGTATTAACTTCCTTACCATATAAGGGTATTACAAAAATAATACTGAGAAATTGGTGAAAGCTCATTATAACTGAAAAGTACCGTTTACTGGTTTGGAGTTTTACAGCACACTGCAAAACAGTTACTAGTTCCATTTCAAATCCTTAAAATCCCTGTGAAGTGGTCTCTGCTATATTTTAGATGTTACAACAACTTGAGGATATAGTTAAGTGCTTTGGATACACAGACATTTAATGTTAACAAGTCTGATTTTAACCCTGTTTAATTTATATATCATAAAACCAAAGCCTATTCTGTTCTTTCCAGAGCTACTCTCCTGGTGGAGCATATGCTCTAATACCATCTCTCTCTAAATGCTAACAGTTGTTCCTGCAATTTAAGAAATTATTTTCAGAATGGAAGACCTACCTGATCTACTCTTGCTATACGTTTGTCTTCAAGCACTACCTTGTTCTAAAAACAAACCCACAGAAAGGGATAAGGACCAAAGGAAAATCTTAGGGTTTTCTGGTTTGTCCCTGAATTCTTCCTCCATTAGAAAGACCTCATTAGCTACAGTGAGAACTGGAAGTGTTCCAGAAGCCTTTCTTGCCATGTTTCAAAATCAAAACCATGATATATGGGAAACAATAAGGAGAATTAAAAATATGGTTAATATTTTTAAAAAGTCAGATCAGTCATCCCACAAACAGCACACACATGTATACTTAGGTGAACTACTGACTTTCAAATGACTGTTGTTTTTTGCCACTAGATTGATACTCTTCAGGTGAAGTGAAAACAACACGCTATTTTTTATAAAGTAAAGCTGTTGCTTTGCTTGTCTCTGCCGTGTAGCCGCACAGTCTCATAAAGCAGTGAAGCATAACAACAGATTTAATGCAAGTCAGCATGGTGGCATAAGTTGAGTGCTTTAAATCACGTAATTGAAATCTGGAGTAAAATTTAAAGGCATTTAAAGAACCTGATTTACTGAGGTTCAGATTTTCTAAATCTGCCAGAGGAGGAAGACAGGAGCTTGTACAGCCCTTCCTCATCCTCTGATAGTCACTCCTGGCATGGTACACATGCTTTCAATCATGTGGTGCCGAATGAGGCAGATTAAAGCTGTGGCCAGCCCTGAGGTCACCCATTTTAAGAGAGTGGTATGCTTGGTTTTTAAGTCTCTAATATTACTCTTACAGTAATGTGACCTCTCAGTGCTATTTCACCCAGGATTAAACAACCACTTATTGAGACCTGTAATTCACACAGATGTTTTCTGCATCATGCAAAGTGTCTAAGCATGTTCAAACTAGTTAATATGCCTGACCATAACACAGATTAACTCTGAACTTTAACATCAAATACAGAGAATTTTCCCTCATCCATTATCTATACTGAATTTTAAGTGGGACTTGTTTAATCTTGGATTTTTTAGTAGCTGTGAAAGTACATAAATTCCAGTGCATAGGTTTTAGTGAACCCCATTAAAGTCTTGCTCTGCCTTCCATGCATCACCTCAGTTTCTAGGTTCAGGAGTATGAGGCAAGCAACTGAATGTAGGCCTACCCTGAAAATTACTGGGTGGTGTCTACCCTTCTCTGCCATCTCTAGCTACATGTCTGATGGACTATACTGGACAAGACTCAAATATTTCCAACATCAAATATTAAAAAGAGTATGTCTGTCTTTGGACCATGTTCAGGTTTCTGTTGAATGCCGTGAAAACTTAATTATCATTATCAGAGGCCAAACTCTAGATCAAAGTTATCTACCAATAAAAAAAAGCAAACCCAAAACATCTGATACTGCAAATTAAATTAATACTCTTTTTAATAAGAAATAATGCTTTTATTTCATATAAAATAGGAAATAAATTAAAAATAAGGTAAAATATTACTGCATGAAAAATGATTGCATTCGGAGAATATCACTGGTCTGTTTATATTTTCCATTGCTGATTTGTTACAGTTACAATTAATGCCAGACACTATTGCATGTAAATGTCATCTTTAAGACAGAGAACTGAGTACTAACACTGAAGGGCTTTGCACGCTATTTTCCAGTTGATTTCAGCAATACATGATTATCATTTTGAGTGCTGGGGGTGGTGGGGGGGGAAGCTGCTTAAAAACAGACAATAATGGTAACACAAAAAATAATACAAACTTCATTCATTAACTAAATGAATGGATTCCCCTAATGATACCAGACTTTAAAGAGAAGTTTACAAAAATGTCTATTAAAACCAAATGTTTTCAAAAGCCATACATATCCCTTGGGGTGCATGTAACAATGTTCTTCCTTGTTAATAGTGTACAGCTTCAGGTTCTTCCATGTCCCTCTATTGCTTCATGATATTAATCTCACCTACCATCCTCTACTGCCTATCAACGTGCCTGATAGGTCAGCTCCATGACCTGCTGCCACAATCACCTGTACTGCCATAAAAAGCATACTGCATGTCATGTGTCACTTGCTGATTCTGACGTAATTTTTGTTTATATATTCCTACAGTAATCTGCATTACTGAACTGGATGTACAGTGTTTTCTGATGGTATCAGAGTAGAGTGTTAGGATAAGATTCAAATGTAGTAGTAGCGCAAGTGATGGATGTATGTATGTTGCTGCAAAGGTGCCCGATAACATTGTAATTTTTTTTTCCCCTTCCTAATGCCCCTAACATACATTTATTTATTTATTTATTTATTTTTCAAAGTGAGAAGCAATGCAGAATCATCATGAAGAGAAAATGAATTCTAAGCACAGTGCTTCGTAATTTAAGCTTCGTCTGGGATAGTTTGTGTTACAGTATTTGCAGTCAGGGCTGCCTTTGTACTGAAGGTTGTGCCAAAACACTATTAAGGTTGTGCCAAAACACTATTAAGGTTGTGCATATTTGTGTAGAGGAGAATCCCATATGCCTCAGAGAGGTCCCCTTTCAGGCCATTGCTGTACATAACTAGTCTTAACTACGGCCATTTCCTCACCAGTCCTCTCCCTCAGAGCATGCACATCTGGTGTTGCTCATTTTTAAAGCTGGGAAAGAAGCCCCAAAAGAAAAACACATCTCTGCTAATGAGCAAGGAAAATAGCTGTTGAGTTTCTTTTGCTTTCTGACAATTACTGAAGTCCCTTGAAAAAATAAATGGGGCACCAAGGGAGGAGAGTAAGGCAGTCTTTGTAGGATAATATGACCACCTCTTTGTTTGTCTTTCCCAAATGTGATATTAAAGTTCTAATTCACTTTTATTTCTCAGAATGACTTAAGAATAGTGCTTCTCCTAAGCCTATCATGAAAACTTAGGAGGCCCTGAAGCCAGAAGCTGGCTTTTGATGAGCAGATAAATTTGAGAGTAAATGCAGACTTTTTGGGTCCATCTGCAGTCACTCTTGACACAAACTCATTTGAGTGGAGTAGACAAAGATCTCAGATCCCTCTTTAGATGCTGTATCTGCATCTGTATGTGGCAGAATACAGCAGAAGAAAAGGATAGATACAGCTATGGAAAGAATTACTTAGAGAAGATATGTTTGGTGTCTTTTCAGAGTGTTTGATTCAATAAGTCCAACTAGTAACCTTCAACCTACTAACCTAGATTAAATAGTTATGCCTAGGTGCTTAGGGTTAGACTAAATCTATATGTACACTGACGAGTTCATACCACTAAACACTTTGTGACTGACCTACTCAGCTGAGCACAAAACAAACCTTGTGAGGTCCTGAGCTTGTGTAACCCACTCTCACCAGCCATCTTGCAATCAGGAAACTTGTCTTCAGGAATATTAATGTGAAACAGAATCTAACTTAAGATGTGCAAGTCTTATGGTCTTCAAATAAGCCCAGAGGTGCAAGGACTGTAGCTTCTGCTGAATTGTAATACTTGTGGATTTGTGGTCATAGTCTCCTAGGCTTCTCTGACTTGAAAATGTGGACATTGCCATCTACTTTCTTAATAGTGATGGTGCACACTTGTTTCTGTCTTCAAGCAAGTGCAATGTCATTTATTTGTTTCCCTAAGTAAATGCTGTATATGGAACTACAGACATTTTCAGTACCACTGGCATTTCCAGTGGCAGATTTTCAAACACCTCTGGCATTTCAAAATGATTCATTTCCAGCAACTGACTAATTGCATTCCTTCAGCCAGCACTCCAATAGCCTGTGCTGCAGAGATAGTACGTAACAGCATGGTTTCTAAAGAAGGAAAATGGAAAAGGCAAATTTTCTTGAAGACAGGGACATAAATGATTGTGCTTCATCATATAGCACGCTGTTGAGCTTGGAATAACTTCAAGACTGTAGAACATTTGAAGCATTAGGAAAAAAACTCTTGCCAGACATGTTAAAGAACTAATTTTGGGATTTTTTTATGAACTGCATTTGCTTGCATACTGTTTTGGTATCTTGTTTTGCCACACACTTTCCTTGAAAATTTAATGGCTGTCACTTAGCTTGACATTGGCAAGATGAACTGAAGTTCACTCTTTTAAAACAGGACAGGCCAAGGCTAAGGAATCCTACGGGACTCACTTAAGCTGTGTCCGCATTGTCTACTGCAGTGTAGTGTAGACTGCTGAGCTGCCTTTAAATGAGCAAACCTGAGTATCGGAAGCTTTTCTAGCAGGAGCACCCTGGAACTCTGCACCAAGAAGTGGTGTATGTTTGTGTTAGCTGTCCCTTATCTTTTTGCTGCTGCTCCAGCCCCACCTGGTTTGCTGAAAGCTAGTTCAGACCTCTCTGCACTATATGACAATATACACTATAAATAACATTTAGAGGCTTAAGGGGTGACTGCTGTTATCACACAAATTGTATATAAAAACAGTCAAATGATGGAAGTATATGATAGAATTGAAAGGATTCAAACAGCACAAAACTGAAAGAAAACAAAATACACAAAAAACGCCTACTCTTCAGAAGTGTTGATTCCAAAATATGTAATGCTTTTGTTGCCTGATGAGGAAGGTTACACCGTATTTGTACGAATGTACTAGTAAATAGGTCACATTCAGTAAGAGATCATGTTTTCACAAAATGATGAAACCTGATTTCCAGACTGGCACTGTGCTTCATTTCAAACAATTAATCAGTTGCATAAGGAAGTCTTTAATGCTCGCATTAAAATAGCACATGTATTTTGTCCTTCAGATCTGCTCCCCCATCTTGCACCAGCATTCATTTCTCCATACAGCATTTTTCATCACAGGATGCAAACAGCAATCGTGTACATGGACTGGCAAGGAGGATATCTGTGGCATTTCATTTATGCATCCAGGTGTCACTGAATATGTGTGTACTGAGGATTCTCTTTATGTGTACTCTGTATCTGAGAATATAGATTTAGAGATGAGGTATCATCCCTTCTTAAAGTTTGTTTCAAGCCCTGTACTATTTACATGTATGTGAAAAGTTTGCCGTGTATTTTAAGCAATTTTTCTCTTTTCTTTTTAATTTTCAGCCCTAATGCTCTTCCAGAAGAGCAGCCACATTCCAGCTCTCAGTGTGCCCCTCTCAACTGTCTCTCTAAGCCTCCTCCTTACCCCTAATCTTCATATGCAATGGAAGAGAAAATGCAAACAGAGTGGAGTTCACGCAACAAAAGTTGGGGTTATTCCCAGCAAGCAGGTAGACAATCCTGCCTTGTTGCTGCATTGACAAGTCTGGATTCATATCCCCTGCTCTGGTGACAGAGGGAAGGTTGAGAAGAACACAAAGCACAGAGCCCAACCTATCAAGAAGACTTTTTATGGTCCTCTGATTGTATTCAAACTTTGCTATCTCAACTAAAGTGTAGTGAAATTTAACAACAAAAATGTTCCTTCCAGCTGCTTGGCTTTACCTCTGAAATAATGAGAGACTTAAGCCAATGTTAAAAAGAGTATGTTACAAAAATCCTACCCTCATATCCTCTAAGTTCAGCCATAGGAACCAGTTCAAATTTCCTTTTGTCATTAAGGGTGTGATATTTATTTCTTACTTTATTTGCACCAGAATTTTGTGTTTATAAAATAGTCTCTTTTTTTTTTTTTTTGTGAGAGTTGTATTTAATTGATTTTATTTTTTAAAAACAAGCAGAACTAGCTTAAATGAAGAATGACTGTGTTAATATTAAAAAGAGGCTTGTTGCATTGGCCAGCATATGGCCAATTTTTATTGCACAAAAATGTTGGAAATGGATTGAATTGGAATGTTAACAATGACTGTATATTTTGCTGCTGCACTGATATTGTTTATGCACTTGTTTTTTTTTAATTCCTATTACACTAGCTTCTGGTTTTGTTCTAGCTCTTCACTAAAAGATAATTATTAAGCCTAAGAAGGAGATGAAAGGATGATGTATTGATTTGTTTTCAGTTGTTTGCTTGCACTGTAATTATATTTTTGCGTTTCAGACAGGTAGATGAATTGGTGCTGTTTTTTGGGGTTACTTTCTATTTGGTATCTGAGAAAGAAAATCTAAAACAAGTAAAATGCTGTGTGCTAATTAAAAACATTCTTTCCTCCCACTCCCATATTCAGGACACTAGCTCAAGGCCTTACTGTGAAAGGCTAGTATGAATGGCAAAGTCATATGCATTTTGTGTGAAGTATTTTGTAGTGAAAGAACTCATGCAGGTAGGGTTAATGGTATGGATCAAAGTTAACAGGACTTTACTGTAGTGCATTTTTTTCCTTGCCAAAAATCAACAGACACAGAACCTTAGCTCATGTCAGTTTATGACAAATACTCAGGTGATCTATGCTACGCAGACTCTATCGCAACAGTGCACAGTGTTCCTAGTTAAAGATTCTTTTCTGTAAAAGCTGAGTAAGTCTGGGATTTTCTTAAAAAGTAGTGAGTTTCAGAAAAAAAAAAAATCAAGAATAGAGGAATTTATTTTGCACAGTACCTGACAGCAAGGGAAGGGGATAAGTAGGGGGTCATGGTTCAGCACCTATGGGCTTCCCGTCTGGTCATCAGCTAGAAAAATGTCTGCAGTACTGCCTACCTGCCTACTTGTTGGTAACTAGTAGACTCCTTGCTTTGTCAGGTGGCCTTAATTTATTTACAGAAGAAAGGCTTGGATATTTCCACATGTCTTTATTCCTTCTCTGCAGCTTATGTATGACCTACAAGCGGGAAACACAGTACAGCCTAAAGTACAGAGCAGCTAGGGGAAAAAAAATTGCTGCAGGTGTGGTTGGAATAATTCTTCTGTATTCTGCCTGAATCTGAGAAAATTAAGTCAGTCTTCTGTTAGTAATAGTGCTTACCAAATGTTACGATACACAAAACATCAGCAGAGGAAAGAATCGGTGACCACTCCGTGTGCCTAACAAATCATCATTACCATAGTACCAGTAACGAAGGTGCTGTAAATAGAAATACTTTATGTCGTCAACAACATGTCGTGTAACCTTGGCAAAGCAGCTGAGCTACTGTAACAAAACATTCAGAGTCAGAGGTGGAGAAAATAGGAACAAACTAATATCCAATTCTGATCAGATCAAACAGACAACACTCAACAGTGTTTTGACTTTGGTTTCCATGCGGTTCACATGATTCTTCTTGTATACATTTGCATTGCTGTTCAGTATCATACTTAACCTATGTGTTGTCTTGTCATAGAAAAGTCAAATGAAACTTTGTTCAGCTCTGTCATAATGTCTGACACTGAGATTACTGAGATTAGCTGCTATTTTGATTTTTATTTTTTAAAAAACCAAAATTTTGTCTGAGGTGAATGCTGCCGTCAGAAAAAAGTCTCAGAATTCCTGACCTTGTCAGACTGGTGTATGAATATTGTACAGTGGCCACGTCTGCATCCAACAAAAACAGCTGCTGTATATTGTTAAAAAGAATTTGCATTGCACTTTGATTACAGTTACTGCAGGCTGCACTTGGAATAGTTTTTTTCTATTTTCATATCCAGATCAAACACATTTTCCCTGAATTTAAGTTAATTAAACAGAAATTCAGTGAAATACATTTCCTTTCTATACAGATACAAATTTATTGGAAAAAATGTTGTACTGGAACAGTTGTTTAGAAATGTATTTGTTTCCAGTTGTGATTTGCAGAGCAACTTCGGGAAATTGAAACATTATGCTGGTATGTCCATGTGGATTAAGAATTATGAAACAGCATCCAATGGTATAGAAATTATGGCCCTGTTTTATAGAAATAAGTGGGTTTATTAAATTTTTTATTCTCTTAAGCTTTAAATTCTTCATTTCTAAGTTTTCAATTAACATTTTTTATATGTAATAAAACTGAAGCGTTGGAAATGTAAGAGAACTAGAAACAAACCAACTTAAATGTACAAATGGCTGTAGTTACCGCACTGTAAGTTATGAAACTGTGTAGGTCCCTGGGACAACTTTTGTCAGTTAACCAGTACAAAATAAAATATATATCTTGAACTCGAGATTATAAACTCTTCTTTGTTATATAGTGCTTGATAACACACAACTTTGTGAGAGATTTTGTAGGAAATATTTACATACAGATAAAACCAGAAACAAAAGCCTGGTTTTTAAGGGTTGCAAAATATTATATTTTGCCCATTTAAAATTAATTTCTGATGTGTTGATATCTATTCTGATTTTTAAAGATAAAGAAAAACTGATACATATATTTTGTAATGGTTGAGTATACTCAGTAAGGCTGAAATATGTCCTACACAGTAAAGAAGCAATTAAAATCCTGCTCTGACTTTTGTATCTGAAATGCAGCTCTCATTCACTAGGATGGCCATCAGATTTCTTTGGATTTGGATATTCATTTCTGAGGCGTTTTGGTTTGGGTTTTATTTTCTGATGTAGTGAAAAAATATTCCTTGTTCAGTGATACAATCCACTTCTGGAAATCCAGTTTATAGGAAATATGTGGGGGAAAAAAATAATTAAAAAATAATTTCAATGTAAGGGGAAATAAAAAAGAAAAAATACATTGTAAAATGTAATAGTATGGAAAATATATTTTCTATCAATCAGAAGACAAATAGAGGTTTTACAGAAGGAAGAAATATTATCGTTTTTCATGATGATCATCTAATCATATAGAAGTTGATGTTCTGTAAGCACGTTCTAGAAGTTGCCTTCTAGATGAGGCAACAGTGATATTCTTTCTGATTGATCTGATTGACAGGTTGGCATCTCTGTGCTTTCTTCATCTACATTTTTCACAGTAGATTAATATAACCATAGCTATACTGTAGGGTTCACAGAATGAATCTGTAATTAAGGTAACGCTGCAAGTTTTAATGCCAAGATTATTTTCAGTTTATTTTTTATTAAAAAAACCTGTGAACTTGTTTAAGCCATTTGCCATATTTAATTGTGAACAGAAAGGAGATTATGTTATGAAATATAACCTCACTTATGAAATATGACCTCACCTATGAAGGCTGCTCATGATAATTACGTTGCAAATATTAGCTGTTAGCAAAATATGACCCAGTCCTCATCACACTGGGAACAACACCCATGAGTCTGGGCCCTTATTTTGATACCAACCTTATTATTGTTCAAAGTCAGTAGTTGTGCTACCAATTCTACCATAGCTGGATTGACCATCATCATAAGGTATAGATTTTATCAGTCCTTCTGAGGTCTGTTCCTTTTTTTGGCGGAAGATGCACATCCACTGCGGTTACAGTAAATTTCTTTCTTTTGTACTTCAGAAATCTTCATTTGAGAAGGGCATGCAATGATGTTTTACCTTTGAAGTATGATAATTGCTATAGTTATCTCTAAAAATTCCAGTCATCACTTTTCTTCAGTTTTCCTTTGCTGTGTGTGCAGTGAGTCTGAAAGGGATATACAATATTCAGACTTTTTTAGCCATTAAGGGTTTTTTTTTAGTATAATTAAGCATCCTGTAGAAGAGAAAGAAAAAAGTAATTGCCTTTTGCCTTCAGGTACAAATGCATCTAAATATGCAATGTAAAATGCGTGCATGAGATTCTTAACATCATGTAGCTTTTCCATATCCATAACTAAGCTAGAAAATTCTTATTTCTTACGCGATCTTCATATTCCTCCTGCTAGAAAGGCAAGAGGACTATCACAGAGAGTCTGTATCTTTCATTCTGAGGTGCATGGCTTAAATACTTATTGGATTTTAATCTGTTTCCTGCGCAGTTCTTGAAAATCCCCTTCATGAAATCTAATGGCAACCAAGTGACAAACTGTCAAAAGCTAAAGAAAAAAAATCCTATATTCCATGACTGGAGTTAACATGTGGGCAGACTCTGGGTGATAGGGCCTTGTGTTTCAAAAATGTGCTGTTACAAAGCTCTGTATTTGTTTTGATTGTCATGATTTGCTGTAAAAGAAAGAAGTGGAGAAGAGTGTGTTTTTTCTCAGCATTAGTAATCTGAGTTAAACAGTTCTTATTGAGTATATGGTTATTGGGTTCCAAAAATATTTTGGAAATCAATAAACACAAGTAGTTGATAAAAGCTTCAAGTAGACTGGCTTGCTAGCTGAGTTGTTATTTTATCAGCTATGAAGAAGAAATAAGAAATCTAGCTTTTTTTTTTTTTCTTCCCTGTTCACAGATATGGCTATGTGTGCCATGCCAGTGGATAAATTAAGTCCATTGTATTAATTATTGTCCTATTGATTTTCAGCCCTATGGTTTGACTGTTAAAGGGTTAATTAACTTGATCCTTTGTAAGCAATTAAAAAAAAAAGAAAACTGATGTTTTGTGACTTTTGTAATCTATTGAATGTTTCCATTTGCATGATGTTCTGTATCTAATGAACCACAGAGATTGCTGTATTTCTTTCAAAAGAGTTTTAACATTGGTGAAGTTTGTGACAAACACAAATTTGTATACTGTATGTTTACTGCTGTAATAACTCAGCTACTCCTATGTTGAATTGACATTATGTTGTCCTGCCTTCTTGGGGTTAAATGATGGAGTGTTTCTAGGTGGTGAAGAATATAAAAGTATATATGTTCATTTGCTAAAGACTGAATATTGGAAACTCTTCTTGTTGCTACTTTATGCTAAAAGCAAAAAAGTTAAATAATTCTTGTTTCCAAAAATGCATCATTTGTTTTTTAAAATTGAAGTAATTCCCATGTTAACTCTTCCTTGTCCTTGTAGACAATCCTAGATTAATACCTTGTGAGGGATTCATAAAGTCTGTGCTTGTACGTGTGTAATATGATCATGCAGTCAAATGGTTGGGAAAAACACTCTAGTGCTAAAGAAAATAATTAAAAGAAGTTAATATACAGATTCTTACATCTTTATGTTCCAATTAAA